CTATTTATAGCTGAAGTCAATCTTTGTAAAAAAATCAGTGAAGGTTTCTTTTGGGCCCTGTATAACTTTAGTAAATGACTCAGTTCTCTTTATGACTTCTTCAATTCTGTCCCAAGCATTCAAAGCTGCTGCACTGCATAGAGCCAGGGTTTTCTGATCATATAGAGATTGTCTTTGTACATCAGTATAATTGCCTTCTCCAAGAAGTTGGTCCTGGGAGATTTCAATACCTCTAACCCTACTTCATTGTTCAATGATCCTAGCCTCATCTTTCCACCAGATCCTCCACTGTAATTGAGGACCAGGTTCCAATACTGCTGTACCCAACTCTCTCTAGTCTTGTGGGACAATTCTGTTACTAGTTGACCATAAATTTAACATCTGCTTCACAAAAGGTGAATGCACACCATATGAGACTATGGCTTCCTTAAATCTCCTCAAATCAAACATTTCAGCTTTTACATAGCCTTGGGGATACCTGTCATTTGGCAGTTGTTCCCATAAGGTGACTGGATGAATTACAGTTAGTTGTTTGATAACCTTGAACTGTTCTTCTCTTATTTTATAATGTAATGGTGTTGTTCCTCTGTCTTTGTCTGAATATCTCTATAATCTGTTTTAGTACATTTTTCCAAGGCTTATAACTTATCAGTCAAAAATGGCAATATTTTCTCTAGTAACTTTTTCTAAGGCCTGTATCTTGACATTCATATCAACCAATTTTTTTAGGGATAAAATAAGGATTATCAAATCAATAATGATTGTAATTAACATTATGTAAATCAAGGTTAAGTTAATTATCTTCTCATTTAATTGTTCCATTTTTAAACCATTCATTGTGTAATCATACAGACATCTAACTCCCTCCATCATAATAGTGCTTCCCATTTTTTTTTTTTTTTTTGGTTTTTCGAGACAGGGTTTCTCTGTGTAGCTTTGCGCCTTTCCTGGAACTCACTTGGTAGTCCAGGCTGGCCTCGAACTCACAGAGATCCGCCTGGCTCTGCCTCCCGAGTGCTGGGATTAAAGGCGTGCGCCACCACCGCCCGGCTATGTTTCCCATTTTTTAACATGGGAAAAAACTTTTTTTTTTAAACTAATTCCCCCTTTTATGATTGTCTCACCAATTCTGCTGACAATGATGGTGAAGTGTGGTACTGGCTGCCACTATGTAGCATGTCTGAGCAGAGAACACAAGTGGTGTACAGCCTGACTGAGGACAGCTGCCATTGATCACGTATCAGCAGCCTGACAAGGTGGTTCAGGGAAAGCCCACAACCCCCAGGGGAAAAAAGGAGCCAAAGAACCAGCCATTTGCATGGGGAAATGTGTGAGACCGGTGGGAAGTGAAAGTAAGAAGCTGTCTGAAGATAGAGCAGACCAGTGGTTGAGAGGCTAACTCTGGCAGTGTTTGGAGCCCACGTGCCTGTTTTGTTTGGGGCTTGTGGAGATGGTTGTAGAGAGAGGCTGCAACAGAAAAATCCCAGACTAGCTCAGAGGGCTTGGGGAAGAAAGGGAAAGGCAGCTGGTGGTGCGTGACTCCAGCAGGTGGAGTTCCCAAGTGCAGTTCCAGCGTGTGCTAGTAGCTGCGAAGCCACTGGCAAGCAGCTATTTCATGAATTTGTGCCCCTAAAGTTGGACACCAGATGATGTATGTGTAAATTTAATTAATCTTATCAATAAATACCAGGAGACAAATATTGGGGTAAAAACCTGAAAGATCAGAGAAGCAGAGGAGCAGCCACCAGTGACTTCTTACCTCTTCAGTTCCTCTGACCAAAAAGGCTGAGATCTTGTCTCAGCCTCACCTTACCACTTCCTGTCCCTCACTCTACAGTCCTCCAAACCTCTATGGTTAGCTAGTGGCTAGCTCTGACTCCAAGCAAGCTTTATTTGTCAGAGCACAATCAAAATATCAGAGCACAATCAAAATATCACACAACAATCAACTGCAATGTCTCAATTCCATTTACAGCTGAAAACCTACGTGCTTTGTATGCTTTTTTTTTAATTTGAAGGATGTGGAGTACTTAGAAAACTTTAGTTCTTGATGTGTTTTCACTATCAACTTAGATTAATTTTAAAATATATTTTCATCAAATAGAAGTTGGTTGTGTTATTTTTGTTAATGTATTGATGACCGTATTTAAAATTATATCCATCCTGAAGTCAATAAAAATATTTTTCATTCTTTTAAACCATTTAATTCCTGTGAACAATATAATGTATGATTTTATGTTTTTCAAAACTTTACATCCTTATTGCCCAGACTTAAAACAAAAAACATAAAACAACAACAACAACAACAAAACCCCCACTAGATCTGACATATAGCTATAAAGGTATATCTGACCTGGGATAGTTATGCTATTTATAGGAAACTTGGCTTCCTGCTACCATGCAGCAGCAGTGTCACCTTTTGTTTATTTCAGTACCTAAGCTTCCCTAAATGGTTGGCTCACTATGGCTGACTTTCACTGAAGGAAATAAGAGACAGGAGGATCTTGAGCTGGGAGTTCTCGGTGGCATCTGCCTTCATCATGTAATGCTGTCATTCTAAACTCCTTTTGTCAATATACCACCTCTGTAAATTGATAATCAAGGCCTTTGAAGTTCTAATTGATCTTTTGAAACATATATAATTGTTATCTGTATATATATGATAAAGTACTTGCTGTGATTTATTTTTTAGGAGAGAGCTGCACAATGAAGCATTGTGTATACAAGTCATAAAGTCTTTGAAACAAAATATCACATGTTCTATATAGTATAATTATATTTTGTAGTTATATAAAATAAGCATTTTAAGATATAGTACAAAATAAACATGTTAATATATATGAGTTTTCTGTTACCACTTACAAGTGAATCTGTTATGTGAACATGCATGTAGCCCTAAACAAATTTGGAAATTATGTGAATGTTCAAATATTGACCAGTTCCCAAGGATAGAGATCAAAGCACTGACTTTTAATCATAAACACAAACTTGCATTTCTATGTCTATGGAGGTTTCATCATCTACTGAACATTTCACTATATTATTTTCTTAGTACACATTAGGTAGAGTAAAAACCCAAAGGAACTTACAAAAAGGGCTTCCTAAGCTCATTTCATCAACAGGTAGTCCCTAGCACTTCTTTCCCACAAGGGATGAATGAATTGATTCCTCCAGGGCTTCCTAATTACAGGCACATACCCATGAGGTCACACCTTCCATAACTTTGAGTCAGTAAGATGGTTTCCAGTTCACAGCTTAATCCCATGTATATTGCCAACACATGAAGATTTCTTGCAAGCCTTGCACACTAAATTAAGCAACCTGGTAATGACTGCTTCCTATGAATTAATCAACTAGATTTAAAGGACACAGCATGAATACAGGCAAGTTTTACATTTTATCAGCATCAAGAGGAAAGATGTATATGAGAGCAAAGGTCTTTGTATATTATTGATATCAAATTGGTGTTAATTCAAACTTAATTGTTATAAATAAAAATTTTAATTACTTAATCTTATCCATGAATACCACTAAGAAAATGAAAATGAACAGAAAACAAACAACCTGAGAGAATTAAAATGCTACAGATGTTAAGTATGGTTTTGAAGCAAAAGAACATAATAACAAGATTAGAGGAACTGAACAAGATATGAAATACGGAGTAAAATAAATATCAAAGTAGCAGACATAAATCCCCTCTTTTGGGCAATTATGATTAATGTAAATTAAATGTGATTTACTATAAAATATGATCCAACTTTATATATTTATAAGTAGGGCATCCTTTAATTTCAAATATATAAATAGTTTTAAGATAGAAGAATACATTACAAATAGTAACCCATATAAACTTGGAATGGTCATACTAATGTCAAAGATAGATTTAAAGACCCAAACAGGTATATTAGTTATTTTATAATGCTAAAGAGACCACATAGTCATAAAACAAAACCATTATAAACATATGCACCTAACATCAGTGTCTGAAATGCATGAAACACAACTAGTATTGAAAGAAGAAATAGCTAACTCTACAGATAGTTGGAAATTTAAATACTGCACTTTAAGTGGAAAGAAATTTAAACAGGAAATTAGGATTATAAAATGCTTGAAGCATATGGCAAACCAACCTGTCCTAAGATCAGACTTCCCCACTCAGGAGTAACAGAACACATGTTCTTCTCATGACCATTGGAACATCTGGAGGGAGGCAGCAAATGAAGCTGTGCCATGAGTCTAAACAAATGGCAAAGAATAAAAACAGTGCAGCTGTGTTCTCTAATCACAATTGAAGAACACTAGAAACCAGTAAGAGATAAATACAGAGAATTCATAGATGTGTAGAAAGCAACATGGTCTCAACATAATTGTCTGCATTAAAAACAACAACTGAAAAAATGGAGTCTAGAGAAATGGCTTAGGGGCTAAGAACACTTACTGCCCTTGCAGAGAACCAGGATTCAGTTCCTAGCACTTACATGGTGGCTCACAACTGCCTGTAACTCCATCTTCAGGAAATCTGATGCCTTCTGATGTCTCAGGGCACCAATATACACAAGTGTCACACACACATGTATATAAAATAAATAAATCTTTTTTAAGGAACAAACTGGAAAACTAGAGAAAGAAAAGAAAATCCCCAATCAAAAGGAAGAAAATAATAGTAAAGATTGGAGCATAGGAGAATGACTTGTGTATCTATGTAATATATGAAAGAAAAGGCACCCAGATGGCCAACAAGGTGGTTTGATAACCTTAATATTCTAAAGCCCACTGCTTTATATATACCAATGTTGAGTTTATGCTATATGAATTATATCTTAATTTTATTAAAAGAATTTTGACAAGCTCTTATGAAACGTTTGTTCACTTGCTTACAAGGAATGAAATCCAACCACTTTAGATGAAGTGTGCTTGCCATGTCCTCCCTCCAGGAAATGATCTTGTCATCATGTCGGGTCTCACTGGATTTCATTTGCATGTCTCTTTAACTCATGTAGAGAAACATGAAGAACTAATTACCATAGGAAGTCCTGATTCCCATGCTGTCAGTGAAGGGCAGAAATCTGTAGGAACTTCCAAGACAACAAGGAAAGGCAAAGAGAAGTCTGGGGAGAAAGAGAAGTTGGCCAAGGAAAAGCAAGCTCCTCGCTTTGAACCTCAGGTGGGTGAGAAGTGACTCCCTTACTGAACAGACCCTGGTGGCACTTGCTGTCCCTCAGGACAGTGAGGGAGGAAGCAATAGGAAGAGATGAGAACTCACCATCCCAGACTCCAGAAGTGAGAAATCCTGTCCACTTAACATTTGAAAGATTCTATTTCGTAGCTGTATTGTTCCCTTGAGAGCACCATGAAGTAAGCAAGTAGACCTACTTGACTGTGTCCCTAGATTTGCCTTTTAGCACCTTGACAGTTCTTTCTCAGTCAAAATTTGACGATGGAAAAATTCTGTACCAACTCACTTTTGGAGCCATTCAAAGAGTAAAGCTAAAGCTCTAGGCTCTAAAAGTAAGAGAAATTTCCTTCTGAGACTTAGTTCTCATTAAAATACTAAGAGAATCATGTAGAAAGCAAGGTCTTCTGGGTAATAATGAAACAAAATTTTAAATGAAAACTTATTTAATGGCTGCAACCCTCTCCTCTTCCTCAATTACCTTATTTCAGATGGATACAGACTTGATCTTCCGTGATGTATTCTGTAACCACACCAGTTTTAACACTTAACTTGTCTGGTGGGGTCCTGGAAGATCCCACTTCCAGATCCTCATGACTTAAAACTAGTTAATTGTGAAGACCCTTCCTTTTCCAAGTTGCTTTTGGCCATGGCATTTATCACATTAACAAGAAAACATACATGCCAACATGTTAAATGGAGACTCTAGGAGAGAAATTGTCAGAAAGGTTATTTGGGGAAGAAGGGTCTTTCTCCCTTTCTGATTGTTCAGGAATGAACTTCTCATATGTAAAAGTCAAAACCCATTTCTGCCCCCTGAAGTCCTTGCAAGTGGTTCTATAGAACAATCATGTCTGTGAGAAATCTTCTTTGATGTTTGATACAGGGTCCAGCCCATGGTGGGCAGCATCATCCCTAGGTAGGTGAGGCTGGGCTATGTCAGAAAGCTAGCTGTGCATGAGCCAGGGGAATAAGCCAGCAAGCAGCTTTCTTCCATGGTTTTTTCTTCAGTTCATGCTTGAGCTACTGTCCTGATTTCCTTTCAGGGGTGGACCTCAAAATATAATCTGAAATAAACTCTTTCTATTCCAAGTTGCATTCAGTTATGACATTTTTCACATCCATAGAAAAAACAGACTACAACACCCATCAGCCTAATTTAGACTTTACTGTGTATAATTTTAAGTCAAGATTTTATAAAGTGATGGGCATAAACACTTGTTTTTCTTTCTCTCATGTGCATGTGATATGCATGACTGTGTGTCTGTGTGTGCACATATGTGTAGGTACGTGTGAGCGTGTGCCTGTAGAGGCCCAGGATTGATGTTGGGAGTCTTCTTCAATCACTTTCCACTATATTCACTGAGGCAAGGCCCCTCAGGTGAATCTGGAACTCATTGACATGGCTAGCCTAGCCAACCAGTGTGCTCTGGGGAGCCCATCTTTACCTTCTGAACACTGGAATTCCAAGTGGGCTGCTGTGAACAGTCAGCACTGGAGCTCTGGGCTTCTGAACTCCATTGTTCACACTTTCAAAGCATGCACATTTCATCTACTGAGACACAGCCACAGCTCCCAAGGCCCAACTCCTAAATGTACAATTCATTGACTTCCGCAAGTGTCTACACTGTGTAACTCAAGGTAAAGACTGTAGACTAGTGTAGGAGCTTATTGCTGTTCCTTCTATCATACCCACCCCAAAGCCCCAGGGAACTCGCAGCCCACTTTCAGTCATCATGCTATGTTCGCCTGTCACAGAATTCAAACAAATGCCTCACACAAGCTCAATTACTTTGTGTTTAACTTACTTGTTTTACTAAAATACATGCCTGTAGGATTCTTCCACATGGTGGTGTACAACAGATGTTTATTTTTATTCAATGCTCAGCACCTGACATAGGAACATGCTATAATTGTCCATTCACCAGCTGATCAACTTTTATACTTGTTTACTTTGTTTGCTATTACTGCTGTGAAAAAGAATATTGAGCATTCTTACACAAGTCTTGTGTAAATTAGGGTTTGGTTTCTCCAAGGTAAGTACCTAATGAAATCACCGTTTAGGGAGTGAATCCTAGAACCTTTCTAGGAGAGAAAAGCATTCATTTTTAAAACTTTCTTTCCCCCCTAGCCAATACCCACTGTTCACTCTCAGCAAGAAGATCCCAACAAACCCTACTGGGTTTTGAGGCTGGTATCTGAACACAGCGACTCAGACTATGTTGACGTGAAAAAAGACACAGACCGATCAGATGAAATACGAGCCATGAAGCAAGCTTGGGAGACAACTGAGCCAGGGAGGGCTATCAAGGTCACCTGCCTGAAAGGCTATTCTTTCTCACTCTTCCTTGATAGATGTGGTCTGAGAGATGAGCCCTGTGGGTAAAGTCACACAGGATTTCCTTTAGGTGTGAGATTTGGAATCATATCAGATTCTAGCCAAATTGTGACATGCGGTATGCCAAAACTATGAGACGTACTCCCGACCCTTTTTTTTTTTTACATAGCTATGCAGGGTTGGATTCACATGTACCCTGAAAAGCCTCAAGTAAGAGAGCATGCAAATGTTTAGCGTATGTTTTCCTACTATGAACAGCTTTAGATTAAAAAGTATGTGCTGCCCCCTTGTGGAATTTAAATATCTATCCCAGCTCTCCCCCATGCAGTGGCTCTCAACCTTCCCAGCCCTGTGACCCTACTTAGTAGGGTTCCTCATGTTGTGGTGACCCCCCCCCCACCATGAAATTATTTTTGTTGCTACTTCCTAATTGTAATTTTGCTACTGTTATGAACCATAATGTAAATATTCTTGGAGATAGAGGTTTGTCGAAGTGGTAGCAACCCACAGGCTGAGAACCACAACCTTATAGTCCAATAGTTATTTTACCTGTGGTGTTCCTTGACCTAATTCAGGGTAACTGGGGCAGATGAAAAAAGATTCAGAAACAATTGGATATAAGTTAGCATGCTTTGTATATTAGCTTAGCATGATGGGTCCTGCCCTTCCTCTTCCTGGTTCTCTGCCATAATCTATAAACGGTCAAAATCACAGAGGGTTCAGAATTTTCTTCTAGTTAATGAATGGGTCTGGTCAAAGCCACCTTCTTTGTGTTTCTTTTTCATCTTCCATTTGCTCTGAGCACTATTGGCTTGCTTCAGTCCATACCACTTGCTGCTTTTCAGCAAGCTCATAAGGCTGACGTCTGTCTTCCAGGCTTCACAGGCCCGTCTGAAGTACCTCAACCAGTTCATTAAGAAGCCAATTGACATCCCTATCCAAGAGACTTTTTCTTCAACCCAGAGCCAAATTAAACCCTCAGAAGAAGGTCAGTGGAGGCCACCCAGCTGCTCAGGCATTTGGTGGGGCCTCATTAGTGACAAGGAATTATTTCAGAGTTTCTGGTCCTCAGGATTGTGAAAGGCCACATGGCTTCACATCAGGACATGAATGGTCTTTAAATTATCAAGCCACTTACTTGTCCGTATTTTCTCATCTAAGACTCACATGCCCATTCTCCACACATAAGCAGAAGTGACTTTCCTTACTTAAGAAAAGTCGAAGAATTTGGTATAGTGGCACATGCCTGTAATCCCAGCATTTGGGAGGTAGAGGCAGGAGGCTCAGAAGTTCATGTCCATCCTCAGCTAAATAGGGGATTCAGGGCCAGCCTGAGCTACAGGAGGTCCTGTCTTGAAATGGAAAAAAGGTAAGAAAAAGATGAAATGAGATTGTTACTCAGTGCAATAGTAGTCATGGGGAATTGGAAGCAGGCCTACTACTGTGAATTTGGCACCTTCTTTATAAGAATACAAATAAGAATAATAAAATAAGTAGTAATAAAAGAATAGTCATAATGAAGATAACTACTTATATGGAATGACTGCCATGGCTTGGCAATTTACATTTCTTAAATTAGAGCTGACCCTAGTGTTCAAAGGTTGTCATTTCCAAGACCTACAATGTATACCAAAATGTACAGGTGTTCTAGACCCTTCTAGGAAATGGTGATGTCTTTGCATTGAATTTATGCACATTCTCCTGCATGCTTTAAATTATCATTATATTTCTTATAATCATAATTCAATCTAAGTGCTTTCTAAGTAGTTGTTATATACTATATCATTTAGAAACTATAAAGGCAAACAAGTATATGTATGTTCATTACAAATAAAACTAACATAGAACTAACTGTAGTAAATAACAGCATAACATTTTAAACTATATTTTTCAAGTTATTTAGTATTTATTATGCTATGTGCATGTGCATGCTGTAAGGATGGTTGCCACAGTACACATAAGAGGATGGACCACTTTGTGGAGTCAGTGTTCTCCTTTACATGGACTCCAGGAGTTGAACTCAGATCACTAGACTTACATAGCAAGCATTACTTTACCCCTGTGGGCATCTTGTCATCCTTTAACCATATGTGTTTAAAATGTTGTATTAATTAATGTTTATGTTATTGTGTATGTGTATTTTTTTCCTTCATGTATGTTTATGTACCACATGTGTGTCTGGTGTTCAAGGAGGCCAGAAGACAGCATTCGATCTCCTGAAACTAGCATTATAGACAGTTGCCATATGGGTGCTGGGAATCAAATATGGGTCTTCTAGAAGAGCACCCAGTACTCTTAAACACTGAGCCATTTCTCCAGCCCTGTCCTAACAAATTATTGATCAATAGTTAGTTGACTGAATCTGTGGATATAAAATCCAGAGATACAGAAGACAAACTATATTTGATTTGACATTTATATACCAACCCATTGATGTATATTATGATTTCCAAGGTGGAGAAAATCTCAATAATATTTCTAAGTTCTTGAGAAACAAGAGACCCTGCAAGCATGCATACCTGGCCCTCCTTTGACCCATATGTCTTCTCATAGATACCTGACTAGATCCAAGTACCATTGTACTAGGCTTACATGGAGGTAGAAGCAATTGACACCCCAAATCCTGCATTTTATTCAAATCAGAATATAGTGCAAAGTGGATCACCTACAGTGGATGAATAAATAGGAGACTAATGCATGGCTCACGTGAAATTTTGGGTTGGTTTTTGTTTTTTTTTCATGACTAAGGAGTCACTATTAGAATCACTTCTAAGGAAAATCCTCTCAGCTTTAGGATCTTCACAAGTAGAAACCCCTTTCAGTTGTATTTAAGACAATTTAAATTAGTGTCAAGACTCACTAGTCCCTTCCCAATGAGAAGTGCCTTGCGTATATACAGTGGACCCAATACTTAAAGACCTCACCTCTGTCAATATTGTCCCAGTTTCTAAAAGCTTCTGATTATATGTGGCTTTCATATTCCAAGAGACTTCCAGGCTCACCGTACACATATGATTATACTAACCATATCATGCTTTGACATCCCAGATGCTGTAGGGTATCCATGTCCTGGTTAGACACTGCAAAGCTTTGTAATTGTGTCCTCCAAATCTGGGCTCCTACAAGCAAGCCCCATTAGATATGTTTGCATGTGACTTCGCAGAGTGCAAGTTACTTTTTTTCAGGAACATATACATTGTGCTATAGGAGAAGTAGCAGGGAGAGATGCTACAGGGAGAGATGCTGCAGGGAGAGATTCTACAGGGAAAGATGCAGACATCAAAGAAATGTCATCAGCCCCAGCGGGAAATACACTGTGGAAGAAATGGCAAATGACCAAGGGCATCAGGGATCTGGCAAAATCTGCAAGCAGCGAGAGCAAAATATCTGTGGCAGGGAAGGAAGAAAAAGAGCCACCACCGCCGCCACCGCCACCGCCACCACCGCCGCCACCAAGTGTGCAGCTGAGTATGCAAAAGGAGAAAACTGGTGAGTTCTGATCTTGCTGGTAAGGTAAGACATACACTTGTCTTTGCAATAACAGTAGACACAGATTATAACAAACACACCTGAGACGAAGGCTCCCAAAATCGGGGGGAAAATGTGCATCTGTTACAGCTAGTAACATAGCATGGCTCCCTGGCATATTAATCTCGAGTTCTTTTATTGCAACAAGTCCTATAGTAAAGGCTGGAATTAGAAGAAAAAAACTATTGACTAAGAATTCTTTATCCAGTAAAAACCATCCTTAAAAACTTAAGCCAAAGTAGGAGTTGGGGTTTAGCTTAGTTTTTGAGCACTTGCCTAGCACATGCGAAGTCCTAAGTTCAATTTTCAGCACTGAAAAAAGCAAACTAAAAAAGGAGGGGTGATTAAGGAAAAATAGGTACATCTTCTTGAAGACAAAGACCAATGGATGTGAGTCTAGAACAGATGGCTTAAAATAGGTGTCAAAGGTAACCCTCTGGATTAAGAGAAAATGACCTCAGAAGGTAATTCAGACACTTAGATATATGTTTGAAGAATTCAGAATCATATTTCTGAATTTTTAAATTGATTTGACAAAAGTAACTGGAAAGCTGTACTGCTGGCTTCTGACACACAAACAACATGCCAGTAATAGTACAAACGGTAGCTGAGGAAATGGAGCTGTGTAAGAAAAATATTTTGTGTCCTGCTTTCATGAATACCAACCTGATGTAAATAGTGGAAAACGTGAATGTGTTTTATAAAAACTATTCTCAAACAAATGAAAACAGTAGCACAGCATAGTGAAACCCTCAAGACATGGCCAAGGCTAAGGAGGGAGTCTATAGGGATGAACACCACCTTCAAAAAGTGACCTCACTACCCTCTCTACAGCTCACAGAACTAGAGAATTGAGAACAAAGCTAACTCAAGTTTAGAAGGAAAGAAATAAAAATCAGAACAGAAATACATGAGCTAGAGACTAAAAATCAAAATATGAATGAATAGCTACAGTAACCTTTAAAAAAGAGAGGGAGGACTCAAATAAATAAAAAAAAAGGAGGTGGAAAGGAAGACATTAAAATTAACAACAGAGAAATACAAAGGTGTAGCTAGGGATTATTATGAGCAACTATATGCTGGCAAAGACCTTAAATAGATGGGCAAGTTCCTGGATACACAGCTTACAGAGACTGGGTGATGAGGAGCTAGGGGATGACTCAGTCGCTTGCTATGGCCAGGAGAACCAGAGTTCAGGTCTGCACCTCTAGTACTTACTTGGCAGCTTGGAAACATATGGATCCCCGGAGTTTGCTGGCCAGTGAGTCTACAGGTTCAGTGAGAGACCATGTGTCCAAAAAGTGGACAGCCATAGTGCAAGACATCTGTTGATCTCTGGCTTCTGTCTGCTTCTCTACACACACACACACACACACACACACACACACACACACACACACACACACACACACTCACACAAATAAATAATAAAGTTTAAATAATGCATGATGAAGAAGCATAAACCTTAACAGAGAGCTGCGAGGCTGAATCAGCAATAAATTCTCCACCAAAGAAAATCTTGGGGCCAGGCAGCCTCCGTGTTGCAGTGAATTAGATAAGTGTCAAGCAGCATGAGTTAAGACTGTCATACTTACTGTGTAATGCTAACACTACACTGGTCTCAAATCAGACAGGTACACAATAAAAAAAAAGGAAACTGATGAAGCTAGATGAAAAACAAATCCTCACAACCTGACAAACCAGGGTCAGAGAGTTGGGTTCGTCTTAAGGAGTGCTTGCTGGTCTTGCAGAGGACTGGGTTTTGTGTCTGGAGCCCATGTCTTCAGACTTACAACTACTTATAACCCCAATTCTGGGGGAATCTGATGTTCTCTTTTGGCTTCCATGGGCACATACACACTCATGTGAAGATTACCCCCCCACACACACACACACACCTAAAAAATAAAATAAATCTTTAAAAACCCTGACAAACCAAGTCCAATAGCACATTAAAAATATTCTTCACTATGATCAAGTCGTATTCACAGCAAGTATGTAAATATAGTTCAAAAGATCGTTAAATAGGATATGCCACATAAACAGAGTAAAGGACAATAAAGCAGGGAGGCTGAGCCAACTCAACAGTCCTGTGATAACTAAGCAATGCATACAGTGTTTCACAGATCCATGCATGAAGGTGAAGGCCTGGCGGCCTAATTTACTAGTTCTAGCACCTCTCTATATAGGTATATTTCTCCTGAAAAACAGTGATGACACAGTTTCTTTCTAATATCAGTAAGATCTGTTATCCTTCCTCTCACCCAGTTCCTCTGGTAAGGCCTTCCAGACTATGTTGAATGAAAAAGTAAATATCCTCATCTTACTTCAGACCTTAAAGATAATTCTTTTGACTTTTTTTTTCCTGTCCGTAATACTGGAGTTGGTATCAATATGGCCTTTGCCTTATTTGAGAAATGACTTATTTCATGAAGTATGAAAAGGCAAGGCAAGTAAAGGAACAATCAGGAATGACTTCATACTGTATAATTACAATAGTGTTACCTCAGTAGGGGCAGTAGTTGAGTGGACTATGAATGGGAGAAAAAGGAACAGTGCCTGGAGCGTGGGTCAGTGAATAAACTCTCAATGATACGTCAATCCACAGCTCCATACAGTTACCCAAACCCATACAATATAGAAGACCTGGGGTAAATTCTTAAGTGAACTATGGTGTCTGGGAGGTGATGGCCACTGGGAAATAACAATGGAAAAAGTTGCATGTGTATTTGTGAAGGGTTAAACAGAATAGCTCCAATATTGTTGGGAATCGAAAACTACTCTTAGAAACAAGAATTGAAGACAGAGAGAATGAAGTGGAAAGATTTTTTTTCTTTGTAATTCCAACTTTTGTCATGATGTTAATAACAGTCACTTTAGGTGGAGGGCTAGAGTTGGGTTGGTGGGATAAAGTACCTGCTTGCATGTAAGCCTGACAACCTGAGTTCACTCCCACACTAAAACGTCAGATGTGGGGCCACTTACCCATCATCCCGATGCTCCTGGAGACGGGAGGTAGACATAGGAGAATGGGCTGGAAGTTCACTGGCCAGCTGGCCTTAGTGTGATGTACAGCAGCAGAATTAAGAGAAATCCTGCTTCAGCAAGGGGGAAGGTGTGAGAACTGACTCCCAAAAGCCGTCTTCTGCCCCCCCCCCCCGCCACACATGCATGATATGCATGTTAACACATCAAGCGAAAGAAACAAACAAATAAAAACTTACCATCATTTCAAAGTCCCTTAAGAGGTTACTGTAATTATTTTACCATGTGACCCAACCATTCCCGCTTATAGGCAATGTCCAGGAAAACAAAACTATATTCACCAATATAGACTAATGGCTGCCCAGAGCTTCTGGCAGGAATGGACACTGACTGTAGAAGGACAGGAACCTCATTTGAATTATGCAAATGTCTTAAAACTGAATTTTTATGATGATCAAAGAACCTAGTAGATTTATTTTAAAAGTATTGCATTGCATCCTTCAAATGAGGTAGGTTTCTTTGTTTTTGTTTTACATGAAAACTATTCTTTCTTTATATTTTAAAGATAGAGAGGTCTGGAAAAGTCAAAAGGTCACTATCATCTAAATACTTAAATTCTTTATAAAATTTGTTTTTGTGGCTCCCTGTGGGTGCATGTAGTAAAAGTTGTTCATTTGCTCTTCAGTGTGTTTATTTTATACATTGTTCAATCCAGTGGAAGGTACAATACTGTGTCTTACGTACATTTAAATTCGAACTCTTGAGTGCTCAGCATGATTTTCAGACATTTTTCAAGCTCTTTAAATTTTGAATCATTTAATTTGCTTACAATGAAACTTTGTAATTGAAAGAGGCTGTTTTCCCCTCCCTCATTTAACTGTAATTAAGAAGGAATTAGTTACTGTTCTAATGGTGCGTACTCATTTTCCCCTCTTTCATTTATTTAGCTATAGACAAATTTACACCAGAGGATAACTTTAAAATAAGATTCCTAAGTGTATTTCAATAAAATCCTAACAACAGCACAAGGTTGTTTCTTAACAGAAAGCGTTGTTGTCAACCAGAAGTTATAATAGCTGTTTAGCTATTTACTTCTGGAAGTCTGTGTTCTCTGCCTTCTAGTATTATCCCGTTCACGATCTCAGACAGTTTTGGAAATGTCTCCACGACTCATTCGAAAAGCACTAGAATTTGTGGACTTCAGTCATTATGTACGGTGAGTTTTAGCTAAAGTGGTTAATATAGAAAGTGTGTTCATAGAATCTTAGATATATCCCCAATGGGCAGTTGCTAAGTAACCAAAAAGTCAAAATTAAATGCTAAATATGTCTTCATTTTGTCTGTCTTTAGAGTGGCATGATTTTTCATCTTAAATTTTGCAAATGTTTTATTACGTTAATCACTAACTCATTTAAGTGACTTTTGTAACAACAATAACAACAAAAAACAATGAACCTACATAAAGTCCTCATACTACCCACTATGATTATTTAATAAAGTTGCATTTTTCTTCACAACTAAATAACAGTATGAATAGAGCCTGTCATGCATGTTTATATGTTTGAGAATGTCATCACTCTCATGAAATGGATAAATTTAAAAGTAAAACCCATACAATACTCATAGTGTGAACGCCAGTTTCACAGTCACCTTATTGAATGATATATCTGAGTTAACTGATGGTCTCCATAATATTTTTCTAAAATATCAATGAGTCAGTATACAGTATCTAACCCATTTTTAAAGAAAATGAGTGTTTATTCCACCATCTCTCATGTTTGGTTTGATTCAGACCAGCTCTCTGTTAACACAATTCTAAATTACTTTGCGCTCTGAAATAACATTTACTTTCAAGCTCTCAAGAATGATTTTCTTGTTTCGTCTGACATTTTCCATCCAGGAAAACAAGTGATGAGCCTGTGCTGCAAACAGAGGAACTGAATAAGCAGCAAGCAATGCAGAAGGCGGAAGAAATCCACCAGTTCCGGCAGCACAGGTGCCGGATCCTTAGCATCAGAGACATCGATCAGGAAGAGCGATTTAAGCTCAAGGATGAGGTTCTAGACACGTATGGGAAGATGCGGGTGAGTCTAGAAGTACCTATGGTCACATCCGTGAAGTTCCTTTGTAACAGAAAAAAGAAAGCAGAGTTATACATCTGAGCAGAAAGAATTCCTTTTTCCTTTTTTTTTAAATTAAGAAAATGTTTTCATTCATTTTACACACCAATCAAAGATCCCCCTCTTTCTTCCTCCCACCCCACCCCAGCCTCCCCCCAACCCAACCCCCACTCCCTACCACAAGAAGGCAAGGCCTCCCATGGGGAGGCACATCCAGTAGAGGCAAGTCCAAGCCCTCCCCACTGCCTCAAGGCTGCGTGAGGTGTCCCATCACAGGTAGTGGGCTCCAAGAAACCCACTCATGCATCAGGGATGGATTCTGAGTGCATCAGGATCATGATGGGGAAACCTGCGGAGATGAACAAACCAAACTAGTGGGAACGCATCAAAGTTGGATCAATGGCTGTGGAGCCTGCATGCGACTGGACTAGGCCCTCTGCATGGGGAGACAATTGTGTAGCTTGATTTGCTTGGGGGGCCCCCTGGCGGTAGAAAGAATTTTTAATACCTGACTCTATAAAGTTCACTACCTCCCAGAAAGCCTGGACATACATTCACATATCTCATTTCACTCACTGCCCTCTTAAAACTCCACTAACACCATAATAGGAATCTATCTTAAGCTGGAATGAATGTGAGAGAAGACAGGAAACTATTTGTGAACATATAAAATTATGGGGTGAGAACTACATTATCCGAGTTGAGACAGGCAGACCGGATGCTGGCTGTGGGAAGATGCTTTATAATCTCCCGGTTTGCTTGCAGCATCTTCGCATGCCCCACAGGCCCAGCAGGTTGGCCCTGTGGATGTTATGAAGCAAAGATGGAATGGGAGGAAGATAATTAGGTTTTTTGGGTTAAGTCCTCTTTAAAAGTCACAGATCGAAACCCCAACTTTTCATGGTGGGTGGCCATTATCCTCCCCCTACTCACACACGTCTGCAGCAGTGCCGAGAGGCTTTATGTAGACATGGTCCAAAGAAAAGCTTTCTTTGCAGTGGGAGACTGAGATTAATTGAAAACAAGACTGTGATAGAAATGGAAAGATGGAGTAAATGTATAAGAATGACTTCCATCTGTAATGATAGAGATTTGTTGCTTTCTTCTCTCTCCCATAACATACATACATACACACAAATACACTCGAATATGCTCACATAGACACAGACACTACACTGACATACAGACACACATGCTACACATACTCATACACACACAGATATAGGCAGATACATATATATGTGCATGTGTGTGCACACACACACAGGACTGAGAATTATAGAACTTTCTAAGTATTTTAGCCATGCTGATACTGGATTCTCCACCACAGTATTGCTTACTGATGTGGAGGAATATGCTAGTTAGATGTCTCTTTTTGTTTTGTTCGATAGGCACTTCAAACTAAAACCTATCCAAATATTAATTGTAGCAATTTTAGCCCTCCTCCTCATTTCAGGACGAACGTGTTACTTCATCATTATCTTCATCTTAGAAAGTGACAATCACAAGTGCTCTTGTTCAGAGCAGAAACCTTTGAGACAGTCCTGCCTGTTACTCTTCACCAGTGATCCATTATCAAAATCCACTTAGTCTCCTTTGAGAATCCCGCGGAAGCTCAATTGCCTCCACTCTCTCTGCATCCAGGACCCCAGTGCAGACCATCGTTGTTTCTAATCAGGGTCTTTCTACAGATCCCTCATTGATCTCGCTAGCTACTTCCATTTTTGCCATCCTTTGATATGGCCTGTCCTTAGCAGCCAGACAGCTGTCATTCAGGATAAATTGTTTTATTTTGTGGTAGCAAACAACCTCACCATTTCAGTGACTAAGGCAGGATCTGACAAACTTGTTTTCTATAAAAGGGGGTGACATTTTTGTCTCTGTGGGTTCTTTGGTTGTTTGTCCAGCACATATACTGTTTCTAGTTACTTTGTCCTACCAATATTAACACATAATTGAAGCTAATACTTAATTAAATGGGAATACATCAAAAAAAAAACCCAATACTTTATTTAAAACAAAACAGGCAATAGTCAGCTTTGTTCCAGAGGCTTCAGCGCACAAAGTCCTGGCATTTCTCATCCTGGGCACATATCTAATGCAGTTCAGTGGGTCTTTCTTGTGTCTATTAAGATACTGAGTGAGGCTGAAAGAGATCATATGCAGAAACTCTCCTGTGACAATTATGACAGTAGAAGGGACCACACTGAACTGAGCATGGCAGGCTTCTGTCCAGAAATAGCACATTATTTCCACTCAAATTTCATTAATTAAAGCAAATCACATGGTCACTCACAGCTTCAAAGATGGAGTCAAAGTTGGTTGAATGTCCAACATAAAGAGCTATGAAGAAATGCAATTCTGTTACTTAAGGAACCTGGTTGCTGTTACTTTGTTACAGTAGTTCTAGCAATATAATACAGAGGGCAGTGTTACCTTGAGCCTGAGAGAGAATGGGAAAATATTTTATGGATTGCACTAATGGCATGATCATGCCCGATTTTGACATTTTAAAGTTATTTTCCTACATATGTACTTCCTTACTGTTTAACAAGAAAGCATAATACATACTTAATAATAAAATATGAATCCATTTTAAATCCATCTCTCTTAGAGAACAGAGTATGTATAAAGAAGGCCTTTGTTCTGGTTTGTTCTTATACTTGAAAGGGAACAATGGGAATTGTGTTTGATAAATGAATCAGAATCAATGAATGATTGTTAAATTGCACAGATTCAATATAACATAATACAATATCAGAAATAGGGAATTTCAAGGTCATTGGCCTTACTTTCTGTGTTTAGAAGCCAAGCTAATGCACTAGATAAGGGTGATGTAGAGAAGAAATATCAGCTGGGACCCTGAATTCAGAGCCTAGTCATTCAAGTGTGGGGTGCAAATAAACATCTTCATTTTGACTGAAGCCATTTTAACAGAAACCCAAGAGTAAACATCTCTTATCAAATATGAGAAAATAACTCTTCCAAAAACCCTCAAGAGTTGACTGGCATATATTCAACTGACTTTATGCACATCCTTAAGATGTTTGTGTCTTGCTCACTTTCTCTTTCCAATGTGCCAGAGCTGTCGTCTTATGCCAATGCAGTATACTCTAGGGATCCAATTTTATGGTAGTTATAGTAGTTTTATATCATCAAACTCATTGTGAAATCTGATTCTGACATCCAGCTATACCAGCCCCTCAGTAAAACTATGTTAGTTGCAGAAATGTTGGGGGAAAAACTCTCAAACAATTCAGCATGAAGAGAAAGCTGGCGTTTCTAGAAAGATCTCTTTATGCCAGCATGAGTCCATTAATCCTTATTATCCCGCTGTATTGGGTTTGAAGCAGTTAACAATAGTGAGGCCTCCTCCACATTCAGAGAGGAAGGAGATGAGAAACCAGCAAGGGGTCCTGAAAAGGACCAGCTAGTGAGATGGAGGATAAGTTAATAATGTGATATCCAGTGAGCCAAGAGAGGTCTGGTGACTGCGGAAGAGGTGGTTAAGTAGGAACAGTATCAAGAACTGATCTTGAATGTAGCTACATGTTGATGACTGGTGTTCTAGATAAATACTGTTATCTACCATCCTAAGAATGAAAGAAAGATAGTGGGCTAGGTTTTATTATTCCGAAGGCCTGCAGCACAGCCCCAGTATGTCTTGTCAGAGAGTACAGGTGAGGAACTAGTAATGTCTTGAGCACAGTTGCTGTGTGAGGGACAGATCGATCCTGAACTCGTTTAAAACAAAGTTCCACTACCAAAATCTCTACCAATTTCTCTACCTTTCTACTTTTCTCCCGCTGATGCTTCCTTCGCCATTCGTTCCACATTAAAATCTCACTTGCCTTGTATCACAATTTCAAGTCTGTGTATTCCTAAACGTCCAAGGACAAGCCTAGCTCCCATCCTCAGTGAGTTTCTCCATCAATGTGTTAGCACGAGGAAAGGGAAAGTATTTCTCTTCTTGCTGCTTCTGCATCATTATCAGTGAGACTGATTGGCTTGGGTTGTTTTTGAATAGGACTCTGTAGATGAATCCCGACAGAAGATCCTTGAAGTCCGGGAAGAATACAGAAGCAAGTTGCTGGAGGCAGAGCGCCTAAGGCTGGAAGCTTTGGCAGCTCAGGAGGCTGCAATGAAGGCAGAGACAGAGAAAAAGTCTCCAGTTTCTGACTCACAGAAGAAGAAGAAAGGAAAGAAAAAATGACTGAGAGGCCCCGTGGCACCCTCTTCTGTAGAGGGAAAGTGTTGGAGGCACTGTCGTTTTGCCTTTTGATAAAATATTAGACGAGTGGAGAAAATGTTCCCCACTCATGGTTTCTACATTTTAATGTTAATGTGTTGGTTTTCTTAGAAAGGAATTGAAGGTATTAGTGTCTCAGGTGTTCTAATTTCACTAAAATTGCTAAAAATAAAGTTTAGATTGTAAATAAAATTGTGTTACACTTTGAATTTCTTGCACTAAAATAGATTTATGTGTGCATAGTGAGTGTGTGTGTGTGTGTGTGTGTGTGTGTGTGTGTGTGTGTGCGCGCGTGCACACACACCCTTTGGCATGCATTTAGGGGTCAGAAACACTTTGGGGGGGGTCTGTCTCTCCTTCCACCTTGTTTGAGCATGGTATCTAGTCTCTGCTGCTGTACTCCAGGCTTGCTGGCCCACAAGCTTCCAGGTAAGACAATTCTGTATCCACCTTCCATCTCACCATAGGAGCACTAGGATTGCAGATGTGCTCATAGACCTGGCATTATACACATGTTCCAGGGAATTTTAACTCAAGTCATAGACTCTTGTGGCCACTGTTTTGGACCCACTGAGACATCTTCCCAGGCCTGAATTTTAAATATTTTTACTTTTAATTATTTTTATATGTGTTTGTGTGTATGTGTCCTGCCTTCAGAGGCCAGAATATGGCATTGTTGTGTCCAGGTATCAAGATCATCAAGCAAGACCACCACAGAGCCGATATCTGATGCAAGCACACAGAGATTTTTTAATAACAAGGCAAGCCCGGGCTTTGTCCCTGTCTAACACTTGATATAGCGGGTGGAGGAGGACAGCCCTGAGCTCTCACTTCAAGGGGTTTATATAGGAGAGGTTTACATGCGAAGAGTTACATATCTTGGGATTTGACGAGGGGGTTAGGAGTGAGGTAGTTCTTTGAAGTTACTGGCTGAACTATAAGCTTGAGGTTACTAATGGCTAATAGGATGCAGGGTATCTACAGAGACATAATTTTTTTTACTCCCTATGTCTTGCTTTTGCTGAGCCCAGGATATATACATTCAGATTTATTGTTCCAGTCCTGTTTTCCCATAAGTTCAGTTTCTGGTCAGTTGAGTCCATTACACCCCATATCTTGTTTCACCAAGTCTAGGATATATAGATTTATTGTTCTAGCCTTATCTTCCCCTGAGTTCAACTTCTGGTCAGTTCTATAACTGCTGGTCAGCAAATACCTTTGGAGGAGCGCGGCGGGAGCGTCTCTCAAGACAGCTACTGATTTTTTCCCTTTCAGCATCAGATCTCCTGGTGCTATGTGCCACCCCATGTGGGTTCTGGGAGGTGATCTCAGGTACTCTACAAGTGCAGCAAGTACTCTTAATGGCTGAGCCATCTCTCAAGGCCCCCCAATTTTAATTGGTAGCAAAACAAGATCCTAAATGAGTCAAGAGGATTATCTTTGAAAAAAATCAATGAAGATAGGTATTTATTGTTTATTTCAAATTTCAAAGGTTTTAGGAGATTACTAAGGTGTCTTTATAATTGAGTGATTTTTTTTTAAAGCTGAAATTTCATAAAACGTTATTAAGCAAAATGTTTCCAGGGCAACCAACGAGGGGTCAGTTAACAGAGCCTGATAATCTACATGATGGCCTGGCAGAAATACTGTGATCACAAACACTACACTTTCAGACTGTCAGCACCCCCTTTTTTCTCTGTAAAACAGACCCTTCTTATGGTCCAGGTTTTTAAAAATGCAGTGAGCAGATAGCTGGGGTGGAAAGTGGGAAACAGCCTCTCTCCAGCAGCTTCCAGTACAAGGACCTGATGAAAACCACCACAGTGCTTTTTACTCCAAATGGCTTCACTCTGACGGGTGACTGTAGGTTATTTTTTCCCTTCCTTAGCAAAATCTTTGTTTAAAATTTTTAACTTAGCCTACATGCACATGGCTAAATAATTTTTGACAAGGGTGCCAAGAATTAAAAACAGAGAAAGGAGAGCCTTCTTCAATAGATGGTGTGAATGAATAGAATTTCCATAAAAACAAACAACAACAAACAAAAAACATCCACACCTATGGTGAAGATTCTCCAAGGCTGGTAGACTGGTTAGATCTTCATGTTTAAAGCCAAAGACAAAATTATTGTGGGAAATTTTATTTCCCTGAATATCTACTCATTGCCCACCTGAGAGTCTCACATCCTTTTGACTATTAGGTAAAACCTCTCCCATCCAAGTACTGATCAGGCCTGACATGTGTAAGTTAAAACCTTTCTGGTTAATTTAGAAGACCATTAGTGCTTATCCACTCCAAAACCAAGAATGCCATCACATAGCAGAAACTTCCCAGCTTTGCTGTCCCCACCAATGATTTTGGAAAATGCATTGTTCCACAACCTACAGTCATGGTCTACAGTCTTTAAAACTTCATGAAACCGTTTCCACATTGGAGCATGCAGTTGAGGAAGCTAGAATCTGTTCTTCCAGGCTATGGTCACTCATACTTGGCTCAAGAATAAGCCACCTCCTCTTCCCTTGGAGGTTAAAGCCATGCTTTGTGACCAAAACACATAATACTGTTGTATACCATATATACAAAAATTAACTCAAAACCTATTGAAGCCCTTATTGAATATTGGAAACTGAAAGTCTTAGAAGCAAACAGTAGAAGACCCTCTTGACATTGGCCTCCTCAATGAAGTTTTGGATATGATACCCAAACCTAGGCAACCAAAACAAAACTAAGCAAATGGGACTACATCAAAATAAGTCTCTGTGTAGCAAAGGAAATGATAACATGCAAACATCATCTACAGAACTACTCACAAAAGACAAGAAATAGAGTCTACTGACGTACCTGTTTCTAGATGAATAGGTTCTTCTAAATGTAGTATACACAATGAAACTGTTCAGTCATAAAAATAAATGGAATCCTGTCACTTTAGCTACACAGGTAGAACTGAGTGACATATTAAGTAAATTAAACCATATGCAAAAAATACTTTTTGTTTTCAAATCTGGAAACTGAGAGGTTTGATTTAATGGAAGTAAAGTAGTGGTTAGGAATGGTGGGTTGGGTAGATTAATAGTGGCACCAAAATATAGCTACATAGAGAAATACATTCTAATGTTCTATAGCATAGGAGGCTGAGTCTACTTTTCTAAAAAAAACTATCATATATTGCATAAAGATCAAGAAGAGGGCAGTTTGAAGAGTCTCAGTACAAATAGATAATAAATGAATAAGAGAAAGAAATTATTGCCCAGCTCCCAGAATTTTAATTAGTAGTAAAACAAAATCACAAATGAGTAAAGAGATTGTTTTTGAAAAATATCAAATTGCGCATATGCATGAAAGACAGAACCAATAATGTGACTTTTGCCTTTTTTTTCTTAATCCTTTGCCCAATCCTTTATAGTTTTTGTGTTTATTTTGGGGTGTGTATCTGTGTGCATATATACGGTGCTCCTCTGCACACCACGGTACACATGGACAGCTTGTGGGAGTTGGTTCTCCCTTCCACTATGTGGGTTCTGGGGATTGAACTCTCATCTTCAGGATTGGCAGCAAGTGGTTTTCAAATACTTGAGAAGGCTAAGCTATAAAATGACCCATAAGCAACATCAAGCCTCTGGGGCCTGGCCATTGAGTTTCCAACTTTTCTTCTAGCTCTGGTTCACCCACTCCTCTTATAAATATATCCCTTGTGTGTCTGTGAGTGTGTGAATGTGTGTATTATATCCATGTGTATGTGTTTGCATGTGTGTGTTGATGTTGTTTGTTTGTGCTCTTTGGGCCCTTTTGGGGGGCTGCCACGCAGCACCCAAATAAATCACACACAGAGGCTTATTCTTAATTATGAATGTCCAACCTTAGCTTGGCTTGTTGCTACCAGCTTTCCTTTACTTTAAATTATCCCATGTAGCTTTTGCCTGTGGGCTTTTAACTTTCTCTATTCCTGTACACCTTTCTTTGTTTCTTATTTTGTGGCTTGCTGTGTAGCTAGGTGGCTTGCCCCTAGAGTCCTCCTCCTTCTCTAGCTACTTCCTTTTCTTTTTCCAGATTTCTCCTTCTATATATCCTCTCTGCCTGCCAGCCACGCCTATTTCTCTCTCCTGCCTCTCTATTGGCCATTCAGCTCTTTATTAGACCATCAGGTGTTTTAGACAGGCACAGTAACACAGCTTCACAGAGTTAAACAAATGTAATATAAACAAAAGTAATACACCTTAAAATAGTATTCTGCAACATGCATGCACACACATGAGGGCAGAGTTTGAAGTTGAGTGTCTTCCTCTGTCATTCTCCACCATACTTTTTTGAGACAAGATTTCTTACTGAACCGGGAATTCAGCAATTTGGCAACATTATTAGTTGGTCAGCTACAACTGGGGACCTTTCTGTCACTGCCTTTGCAGATTGAGGATTACAGGAACATACGACCACACAGAGATTTTTATAAAGTTGTTGGTGATCCAAAATCAGGTTCTGGCACTTGGTGACTGATTCCTGCCCTAGCCCCTGTATTCTTTCATAAAAAAAAGTCTCTGCTTCTCCTATCATCTATGAGTACCTATCCAAATTCTTGTTCTGGAATGGCAGAACCTGGAAATCCTGGTGGATACCTGCAGGACTTCCATCCACTGGTTAATAGTGGGGACCTTAGATTCTGGTAGCACTAATTTGATCATTATGTATATTATATATGTATCAAATTATCTCATTGTACCACATAAGTATGTACAATTAATGTATGTCATAAAAAACTAGATGGTACTGGGGCAGATTTAACTTTTTTTTCTGTTTGCTTTGTTGTTTGTTTGTATTTTAAGCCAAGGTCTCAGGTATCCCAGTCTGGCCTGAAACTCCATATGTAGCCAAGGATGATCTTGTACTTTCTCATCCTCCTGCCTCCACTTCCTGATTGATGATTTGAGGAGGCATACCCTACAACTGATTTATGGAGCATGGAACCCAGACTTCTCAAGGCTCAGGTATTTTGTAATAGTGGCAAAGAATGAATAACAACCTTCTTGACTACATCATAAATTTCAGGTGCTACACATTAAATATCCACAGAATGCCACAACAAGCCTCACAGAATAGTTTTTAATAGCTCTTCATTGAATATGTTATGCTATTTGTAGTATGTGGTCTGTTAGGCTGTTAAAAGGGCTTTATGTTTGTAATTATGGTCATTT